ACAAGAAAACAGGAACCAGATATGTGAAAACATACACAGAATTAGACAGGAAATAATCATAATCATAACGTTCTAATAACTCATTTTCTCTCTTGTCGAAACCCTTCTACCAAATGAAATATCTCCCATGGAAGAACAAGATGTTGAGAGTAGTAATAGGAGACTCACCTTAAATAATTATAGTTTCTCTCAAAATGGAAACCTTAATTAAAATATTTATGTCAAAAACATGCCTAGTTTTTCATGCTATTGAACTGAGAAATCTTTAAAAAAAAAGATAATGCCAACATTATTTTTAACTTTTACAATCTTAAAAATCTGTTTCTATGTTTGTCAAAAAATTCTCTGAAATATTTGGACATAATAGAAGACTCAGAGTGTTTCAGTTTGAGACGACGAGTTTAATTCAATAAATATTTTTTTTTATTGAGATAATCATTCAAAGTTTACGTGGTACTATGTTATTTGTAATGATCTTGTCAAATATTAACTCACTTTTATAATTCTTGTATAAAAAGTTGTTTGTGAAATCCCCACTAAATTAGAATATGAAACCCAGTGTCGCTTCTCGTGTTAATCATAAGAAGACTACTTTATTCTATCTATTGTGAGAGACATTTCTTCGTGTTTCAACAACAATCCAAAAAAATAAATTGGGTTCCTATTGAGATTTGACCAAGCTATCGACTTATTAATATATCTGTTTTCTAGAGACCCTAGATTTTCTGAAAACTCGTATTTTCTAGTTTTGATCTGAAACTTTGTGCATATAGAGAACTCAAATAGACTAGCTTCCATAAAAAAATTCCAAAGTTTTCAACAAAGTATCTTCGAGATATGAAACTTTCAAAAAGACGCATGTTGTATACAACCTGAAGAGATTCCTTGATTAGTCCTTCAGAAATGCAATAAAAAAATAATTTATATAATTCAAACAAAACATAACTGATATACAATCTGTGAAAGATTAAAATTTTCATCCTTTTAATTCAACACCCATTTTAGTTCGTGTTTCACAAAATAACATTTTGTAAGAGAATAAAAATATAAAATTTATTATCTTATTACAATTTTCTTACATACCATCACATTGTTGATAAGCCAAAACAAGACTATAAAGAACATAGAGTGGATCTGGTAATTTAGCAATTGATGGATTGTTAATCGATTGCGAAAAATTGTTTGTATCATCAAATTGAGATTCAATATAACGACGAACAGGATCTGTTGACTTTAAATAAAAAAAAAAAAAAAGGACATAAATAAATGTCATTTTTCTTTTTATAAATGAATGAATTTTTGTTTTTTACTTTAACAACTTGTTTAAGTTTAGGTCGTAATGAACGAAGTCGTTTTCGTCGACGAACAATTTGTTTTTTAAGATCACTAATTTCAGTTTGTAATGCTTTACAATCATCATGTAATCTACAAATAAAATTTAATTGCATTTACAAAAAAAAAACAAAAACAACAATAAAGAAATATGATATTAACTTTTCTCGTTGTATTAATTCCCAATCAAGTTGAAATAAATGAAGTCGATGAGGATCATTCTCAGTAATTTTCTAGAAAAATAGTATTATTTTTATTTGTACAAATATAATAATTAAAAAAAAATATTATATCATACTGGATCAGTAAGATCAGCTGGTGCATTTGCATAAAAATCTTCTAAACTAACTAATTCTAATTGTTGATCTTTTGATCTAAATAAAATAATAAATAATTTTACAAAATGCATTTTATCAAGAAACGAAAAAAAAAAAAACATCTTACTTAAATTCTTCACAACGTGCGATTTCTTTATTAATATGAGAAAGTTCATAAAGAAGATTTTGTTGTTCAAGTGTTTGATCATCAAGACGATTTCGATGCTAAAAAGAATATACAATCTTTCATCTATGAAACTACTCATAGATAATAAAATAAGAAACCTCAGCAGTAAGTTCTCGAGCTTTTTGTATACGTGTACGACCAATTCGATTAAGTGAACGAAGTTTATTACATAAATGCATACCACGTCCATGAAGTTGAGACAATTCTTCTTTCTATTAAATAATAAAAGACAAATACATTCTTAAATTTTTGATTAAAAAAGAAAAATTTCTATTTTATTCTAAAATTTAATAGATCTTCCTGCTGTGCATTCATGACAACGAAAAAATATATGAAAATAACATCAAATAAAATTTTGACATATATGAAATCATTCTCAACACATTAAAGAAAAACGAAAGATGTCTTCATTTGATTCTCGCCAACAAAATGACAATGATTTCGAATCTATAACTCGTATTTTTAATGCTAGTTCATTACTTCAATGTCCATTATGTAAAAAAGATATTCAAGACCCACGTATACTTTGTTCGAATGGACATACATTCTGTCATAACTGTATCAAAGTATTTTTTTTAATCAAATTACATATATTAAATCTTGGACTAAATAATTTCATTCTATTTTTAGGATGCTCTACCTGATGATGGAGTTCTTAAATGTCCTATTTGTAATGAAGCACGTCGTTTATCAAGTATTCAAGAAGTTGGACAATTAGCAAAAAATCATACATTATTAACATTAAAAAAAGCTGAACATCATCGTCTTGCACAACTAGGTATATGTGAATTATGTAATAAAAAAACAGCTTATGGTCGATGTTATCATTGTCGATCATTAGCTTGTTTTAATTGTATGGATGAACATGAACGAAATCTTACTAATGAACAAGCAAAAGAATATGCTGAATTAATTAAAATTCGTGATAATTTAACAGAAAAATTATCTCAATGGGATAATAAATTAAATGAATCAAAAGAAAATATTTGTCATTTGATTTATAATGATGCTGAAAAACAAATTAAAGAAATTCAAGGTATAATAAAATGATTTGATTTTATATTTAAACTTTATTAGAGAATATTGTTTTTTTTTTTTTTTTCTTCGCTTTTGAGAACGAGAAAAAGCTTTATATACACAATTAGATGATCTTTATCAAAATTATCTAACAACAAAAAATACTAAATTACAAAAAATAAAATTTGATATTGAAAACGATTCAAATGAATTAGATAAAGTTGATCCAAAAAATTGGAATATATCTGAACGACAACGCTTAACTCAACATTGGCTTGATTTACAACGAAAACTCGATGATCAACAAATTAATTTTATTTATAAATCTAATACATCACCAGTGAATCATTCCTATCTAGGCGAACTTCATCTTAAAACACCCAATCAAGATAATGAACATTTACAACTAACTCGTTTACAACGACAACATATTCCATTACTTGATCCATTTGATAATCAAGATGGAATATATCGATCTAATCAAGTAAAAAAAAGAAAATATAATGACTGATTTGTTAATAAAAACAAAACAAAAAACAATAATATTTTTTCTTTTTAGATAATTAGTGGACGTGATTCAAAAACAAGAACAAGAAAACGTATGATTATAACTGAACAAAATCCAACAACAAATTCTAATATATTTTTAACTCAACCAATGCCAGCAAATTATGAAAATGATCATGAAGGTGCTTATCGTGGTACAGGTTATTCTGTTAAATTTAGTACTAAAGTTGATGGTTCAACATCAAGAAATCGTTCAAGAATTGATGATCATCATCAAATAGAACAAGAAGGTAATGAATATGCTGTTAGAAAAGTTCTTCGTTCAAATCAACCATATAATTTAAATTTATCAAATGCTTTTGAACAACAATCACAAATTGATGATAATACAATATTAACACCACGAATGCCTATATCACAAATACATCTTAATGAATATAGTAAAAAAGCAACACAAGTTTTAACAGGTCCAAATGATGTTGATAAATTTCTTGCACCAAAAGCTATTGTTGTTACTGATACAAATCATTTATTAATTGCAGATACAAAAAAACATCGAATTATTATTTATGATCTTAATTTAAGAACAATGCGTGGTCTTAAAGGTTTTCTTTTTCCTGATGGACTTTGTTTAGCTGGTGAACAATTTGTTATTATAACAGATCGTCATCGAGTTTCAAAATATGATTGGTTTAATGGGAAAATGATTAATTTTATTGGTAGTAAAAAAGAAGGTTGTACACAAACATCATTTTCATGGCCAAAAGGTGTTGCTATTGATAATAATTATATATATGTATGTGATTCTTATAATTCACGTATGGTTGTACTTAATCATCATATGAAATATGATAGTGAATGGATTGTTATGCGAGGTTAAATAATTATAAATTGATTTAAATTTTAAAAATAAATTTTTTAATATTTAGGCTCAAAAAAAACTTGATCCACAATATATTTCAATATCAAATAATTTACTGTATTTAACAGCATGGCAAAGAAT